TGGCTGCCACTGCTTTATTGCAGTGCAAGTTAACAGAATTAGATCCTCCAAGCATAAATTTGCATGGGAGAAAATAGAAGTATTTCTTAGACTGTGATTTTTCATCACAGAGCACAGGGGGGTATTTTCATCAAGTCATGTCCTACACTTCAGGAAATAATCCAGACTTTTACTCCTTACCATACTTCAGCAAACCAACCACTCCAAAGATCAATACATTTTGCAGTGAAATAGGATATTATCTGCATTGTAGTCCATAGAAAGTTAATCAGTAAGTACAGCGCAAAGCAAATAAGGAACTGGAGAGAGGTGTAGAGGATGGTTACTGCTGACGGGAGGTGCCAAGAAACTGTGTGCATGGACTTAGAGCCCACACAGGAAGAATCAGGCAAGGAGGAGGATGGGGAGGAGGAAGGTTCCTTGTTTGTGATGGAGTGAGTGGGGGTTGAGTTGCCCCTGACTGGGTTTTTGTATGCCAAGGGATAGCAGCTTTCCAGGGATTTCTATAATTTCACAGGTTTCTGAGTCATTTCTGGTGTTGGTTATTTCTCATAACTACATTAGACACAGGCAAAATGTGAAATTCAGGGTTCAGATACGACCTGTGAGGCAATATATTGTGGTAGCTCTGTGATTTGAATCACTATATCTATTACAGGTATGTCACTGATGTATTTTAAATTGAAGCAAATCATTTAACAGTGCAGTTGACCCATTCACAGTTAAAGTTATAAGGGAGTTAATATGTAATAGATTTGTAAAACAATGAGTATTTTCAAAGCATGCATTGTCTCACTGAACACTGCAAATGTGATCTCCAATTCCTTCTGGAAAACTACCATTTTCTATAGCCCATTTTTCACACCAAGCATAAGTTTGGTATATGATTATGAACAAAACACCAACAAAAAAACTAAGAGCCAACTATGTTTTAAATCCCTTTTCATGGTCTTCCCTTTTTGGTTGATAGCATCTATCCCAACATGACACATTGTATCTTAATCTGTTCTGATGTTGCAAACATTTATGTGCCAATAACTACATCAAACAAACTCCTCTTACTGAAATACACAGGTACTCACAGAATGGCAGCTTTAAGTTGATTCAAAGGTTGATCCCATCATTAATGCAGTACATAGATATTAATACAGTTATTTTTACAGCTGCTACTGATGGATTTTCACTGTAGAAAAGAGACCAGCTCCTGACAGCTAAACAGCTAGGGGTAACACGTTCGAAAACAGAGCTGCTAAATACCATTTTGCGCCATTGCTTAAGGATAGTAGCAAGTTCTTCATTCCTCTTCAAAGGACATATGTGCAGGATTTTCTAGTGAACATAGGGCAGATATAAAAATATCACAGGAACTCTAGCTTAGCTCTTATAATGGCCCTTGATACTATTTCTGCATCCACCACAGATGCTAGTGAATATATTTTTCCTAGCCCCAATTTTTGCTCTTTAGAACAGCGATGCTTCTGTGCAGTTGATGGAGAACTATGAAAGAAAAATATACGTATGGCTTTATCAAAGTATTTCTGCACTCATCTAAGAATGCAACTACAAACCAGGTTCTAGATGACTGCATGGTTGTACTACAAACCTGCCATTTTATAGCAATTGCCTTATTTTGCCTTATCTAAAAATGGGACTGCAGGCTTTGGTTATCTCACAGGATAAGGTGAAATAGATGCACTAATTCTTGCCAAGTTCTTTGAGAATATAATGGTTACTCTGCATCTTATTTCCTTTCTAAAAGAGTAAAGCCAGGAGGTGTTGCATGGCCATTCACACCAGATAAGGTATTGAATAGATGTCCCTACTATAATAATTAACTATGAAAATGCTTTCTTGTGTTTTTAATGAATCCTTAGTTTTAAAGTGAAAAACACTTGCATAAATTTGCACCTTTGACAATGCTACTGTGCTCGTGTTTGTAGACTTACAGAACAAACAATCTTGATTACCCTGGACATCTGGGCGGTAGGTTGCCTTTCTCACTCTTTATAGAAAACATTTTGGATTCTGCATAAAACAGGAAATCCAAGGGCAGAGACTGAATTGTCAGGAGTTTGTATGCCTGGCTGTTGGCTCACTTGGTTTTGGTTTTTTGTTGTTTATGGGCTTTTATTTGGGGAACCTATGCTTGTAGCACACTGAGCTGCACTTTGACCATATACTTCAGAGTTGCTAGAAATGGCGGGGGGGTGTGGGGGTGTGTGTGCTCTCTGTCTCGGTCCAGTCAGGATCAGGGCGCCATGCAGAAAAATTATAAACTCACGACAGTCTGTTGAAGGGGGAACATTGTCAAGAGCAAACGTTGCTGCACTGTGTGCAAGCTCCCAATTTATTACCACCTGTTTACACAGGTTCATTTTTACTTTTACATCCTACTGACCTTCAGGTTTTGCCTGTTTGTGGCTTACATACTCACCACACTTTGCAGGTGGTGTTTTTTACTGCTGCTTTTCACTCAACACAGTGTTACATAATGCTGCCTCAGTTTCCCACAATCATTCTTCTAGCCTCAAGGTCAGTTTACATTTTGCTAGCCACCAATTCTTAATTGCCACAGGGGGCAACAGCCTGGTTTCTACTCAGGGAACCGTTTAAAACAGAGGTCTCGAAGGGCCCTCAAGAGGTGTCTCGCCCATGCTTCACCTTGCACAAATGTGCTGCTGTAGGCACTGGGGTGTAAAGACACCTTGGACCCCATACTCTGCTTAGGTTACCTGCCACTAGCAGAGATGGGGGTCTTGCAGCCTCTGACTCTTAGCTGTGGAAATCTGCCCCACTCACGGGAGATTCCCCTCTGCAGGGTTTGCTCCTGTTGCATCTCCCTGTCTTACACATTCTTGTCTGTGCTAATTCTTACCACAGCTCTGCAAACTGTGTGTTAGAAAACATATTAACAGGGGTCTATAGAAGGGAAGGGCAACTAAACTTAGAGCTTTTCCTCCCACTCATATGGGAAGCAAGTGCAAATGATTACCATTTGTATCTTTTTGCAAAGCATTTACCATTCCAGGGTGATCAAAGTCCTGAACTGGTCATATGCAACAGACCGTTTATGACACCCACAGAGCTGTTGGGTTTTCTTACCAAGAATGGACACTTCAAAAGCTTTGTGCCAAAAAACCCACTTCCCTCACCTTGAAGTAAGCTGCTTCACTTCCAAGCACTAGTGAGAAAAATGAAGAACATAAAGGCATACAATCATAACACATCATCAGTGTTGGCAGGTAGCACATTAGGCCTGGGATCCATGATCATAATCAGATTCAGGCACATCTAGCTCAGCAAAATTTGATCCAGATCAGGCCTTGGCACATAACGGCATTTCTTTCTATTGCAACTGTAAATACACTTCATAGGAATTTCCACTGACTTTGTATTTTCGCTCTGAGGACAGGCAACTTCTAATCCAATATAAAGCCTGCAGGTACCTTGTTAACCCATCACAGTTTTTCTTGAACAAACACAAGCAAGCAGAGTGACCTGATTTCAGGCTGGTGCTTTGCAGTAGGTGGCCGCAGCAGTCTCAGCTGGTGGCAGGAGCTGTAAAGCTGGATTTACCATCTCCTTGGACTGCTGCCATGAACATAACATCATGCTCTGCCATGACTACCTAGGTTTCCTCACCTCCTTTGCTTCAGATTTTAAATAGGGGACATTTAAGGCATAAATACACCTGACATCGAACAGAAAGATCTCACTTTTTGCTGGACACTGCACTGGTAACCTTGACCTCACCTGGGCAACCCCCTTCACAAGTGAAAAACTGCTGTTTTGGTGGGACCTGTGCCAGGAGCTTGCCTGCCCAACCATAGCAATCCATGCTTGTACCCTGAAACACCTCTGTCAGATCCCTGCAGTGTGTGCCTGATTTAACTGAAAATTTTTCATCTTCTCATTGATTAGCTATCACGAGGAGGGAACAGCATAATCGATGAACCACTCTGTTGTTCTCAGCGTATGCAGCCACCATAGAAATCCTATTATTTTCAGGTTTATTATTTTATTTTCTGCTTTTATTGTCTCTCTGAAGGAATGATACTTCCTAATTAAGTGCATCAAAACCATAATACAGCAACTCAAAGTATTTTCCCATTTTATTTCCCCATAAAGGATTATTGCCACAACAGTGATTGTCACAAGGCAGTTATACCACTATTAGTAATAGAGGCTTATATTATAATACTACTCAAACACCACATTTGTGATGGGGTCCTGTCATTCAAGACCCTGGATACCCACAGAAATTTGTCAATTTGCATGATAGAGCACTCCCAGAAATAGTCATACACATTCTTCATGCTTTTCCTCAATTTGTGGCATCACATTTAATTATTGACTGACAGGCCCAATACTGACATACATTGCCAATTTCTGGTCCAGATGCAATTTGGTTCTTTCAAAAGAAACCCTCTCCATAATGGTATAATTTGAATCAGCATATCCATCAAAACATGTATTTAGATGTATTTCAGTTCAGGCTTGTACAATCTGAGCAACAGATAAACACATTATAGATCTTGGTATTTTTACCTGAAAGAAAAAACTGCCCTTGATGCTTCTAATTAGCATATACCCCACTTGATAGGTCAGACAGACAGATAGCATGGAGCCATCATATTTTCAAGTTACTGTTTGCATTACAAACACATTCTGGTGGTGAACAAGAAACATACCGGTTGCATATGCATTTTGCAGGAATACACCAAAACCTTTGATACATTTTGTGTTCTGCCTACACGACATTATTTAGAAAAGTTCGGGGAAACATTGCACACCCTGGAAGTGGGGGTGGGTAAGGCTGTGAGGGGGCAATTGCTCACCCCAACTATGAGTGTATGGGGGAGGAGACTGCCATTCCCTTCTTTATCTCGAAGCTGCAGACTAGGGGGGTGTCGATATACCCCCTCAGCCCAGAACATCTCGAGATACACCCCAGCCCAGAGGATCCCTAGCAGCAGAGCACCAAACAAGCTTCCCGGTACCTTGTAATTTCTGGCTGTACTCTGTCCTGTCAGACTGACTCCTCCTCAAGGTGCTGTGGTCCCCGGTGACAGCAGTGCTCTCCACCACAGGCTCTGTCCTTCTCCTCTCCCCCATGTACAGCTTGCTCCTCAGCAGGGCCAAGTTCCTCTTCCTGCCCCCCACGCCTTCCTTCCCTGGACAGTCCATGCTCGCCATAGCCAGCTTTGCTTGGTGGTGGTGGCGGGGTGGGCAGGCAATATCCTGATTTTTTAGGAAGGTGAATTCGCTGCCCAGGTGAAGGCAGGTTGCTTTATGCTTGGTTTTGGAGCAGGGCTCCCCAGGGCCTGGGGCTCAGCCCTGTCACCTGTGCTGGAGCAGCTCCACCCCCGGGAAGCTGACGCCCCAGGCAGTGTTTGCATTCACCTGCCCTATGTGCAAGCACGCCTGGCGGGGCCGGTTTCAGAGCCAGCTCCAAACCGCAGCCATTCAAGGCCCCTTTCACTGCTTCAGGGTATGCTCCTCACCCCACTGCAGGGCCGTGGGTGCCGGTACTCGGAAATGGAGTCGCATTTTCCTAGCTTTGCCCGGGCCGTCCTTGCTGTGCAGTAGCAGAGCAACGTCCGAGTGCGGCAGGGCATCACCATGCTTTCACAGGACACCTTCCCTCTACGCTGCCGGGGTAGTGGGGAAGCAGAGGGCATGGCAAAAGGGACAATCCCTTGACCATCACTCCTTGTCCTTCCTCAGCCTGGTCAGGACCCCAAATCATTGCGTATCGAATTGTATCTGACAGGCTCACAACTCCACCGAGAGGTGTAGCCAAGAGGCTGGAAACTCCTGATCTACAGGTTTGAAGGGAGACTGATCCCCCAGGACAATGAAGAAAAGAGATGAGAAGGAGACAAAAAACTCTCTGGGAGGTGGGAAGCAGCATGGAGCTGATGCTTGTCTCAAACCAGGCTGTGTCCTGCGCTTTACTCACAGAGAAGTGACACAAAAGCCTACCAACGACTCGTGGAGGCTGTCGTAACAAATCACCCTGCTCTGATGACAGAGGAAGTGGACACCTGCTCACAGTACCTCTGGATCGCCCCCTGGAAGAGATCTTATTCTCCTGTCTGTTAACAGTGGCCTCTGGCACACTTGCACTGTCTAGTGATCCTCCATAGCACCGGCCTAATCAAGCTCATGTTAAAACAGCAGGAGCTGCTGGCATCTAAGCTTGGACTGGACTTATCCTGGGAAGAGCCCCAACAGCCATTAGTAGCAATCACTGCTGCTGCTGTGATTCCCAGCCCCTGCGGCCCTCGCTGCCCTAGGAAATGCCTGGTGAGAGCCCGGTGGTGCAGCCTAATCAGTGTCGGTCTCACACACACTCATTGCCGCAGCATCTGCAGGGGAACACAACTGAAGTCCCTCTGACACACACTGGCAGACCGTTCTGCTTTAGCATTGCCACACTGTGTCTCTGAAGGACTGCATAGGAAAAAACAAGCAGGGATGCAAAGTAGTAGTGTAACTATTTCCAACTTTTGTTTTTCTCTAAGAGGCTAGTCCTGTGATGCAACCTCCTGATCAAAGCCCCTAATTTCTACTCAGAAGTGAAAGGAAAAGGTTATGAAACTGTTAAGCAATTTACGATGTCAAATTGCAGCACTGTGCCAGTGCTGCACAAAGTGTTCAGACCTAACACATCCTGGCAGAGGAATAAAGCATGGAGTGGAATACTGGGAAGACTGTGCTCACCCAGAGAAGTCACATATTACGTAGGCAATTTCTGTGTTACATCTTGCCTCCTCGTTGATATTCCCTAAGAAACTCTTTGTTTTGCAAGTCAGACCACAAAAGTTCCTTGAAAGACAGAGCAGTGGTTACAGCAAGGAGACGCGTACAAAGGGATCCATCAGTGACACCCTTGTGACAAAGCATCAAAGCCCCCCAGCAACAAGTAAACAGAATAAGGTTGGAGTTGAGGGAAATCAACCACCCCATTTCCTCCCACTGGGGAGGGGATTTGTTCGAAGCAATGGCTTGGCATTCAGCAAGGGTGGTAAAATGGGTTTAAACAGTCACCACCCTGACCACTGCTCTTCCCCGGATACTTTTGTTCCCACTATTGCTGCAGGGTGTAAACACCCGAATTTAAGACAAGATGGAGAAACTGATCTGGCTGAAAACTCCCTCCCTCCCCCCTTTCCTCCGGGCCAGTATCCATCTTGATCTGTGCTCCTGTTCAGTTCATCACCCAGCTACACAAGCAGTTGTGGCAGCATGAGGCAAGGGACGATGCAGGGGCACATGTGAGAAACTGGGGGTAGGGATGGTGATTGCTTAAGCCAACATTTTCCAGAGAAGGTATTTCCCCAGACGGGATTTTAAGGTGTTGTGCTTTTCATAAGGCATGGGTCCCACCATTTATATGAGATTTCATTATATTTATTTAAATTAAGATGGTTTGGGGGAGAACTGGGGAATATATTTTGGCTGGGTGGAGGTGAAAGAACAAACTTTATAAAATTCTTGGCTCTGTAGGCTCTCTGCCACATATGCAGAGTTACAGCCAAGATAGGATATCGTGAAGTTTGCTCAAGTGTTTATTACGACAGCAATCTACCCACATGCAAAAGTTGTCTTCCTCTTCCTCCTCAACTCAGTCACAGGGTGTGAAAAGGTATGTGTTCATTCAGCAAGGTTGTGGGGAAAGCCGGCTTGTGGTTTGCTGCTGCTTTTGTACTTGCAATGGTTTACCTGGCTTCAGCTGGCAGCACTATTTCTGAGGCAGCCAGGAGGCCAGAACTAGCTTACAACCACAGTCTGGAAATGTAGATGAGTACTTTCTGCAACCTCAAAATATCTCCTATGTTCCACTCAGCATGGAAAAGGCTGAAAATAGCATGTCTTCTGTAATACGCTGAGTGGGATGCATTCAGGACCAGTGGCTTCCCTACCCCCTCTGGAGGGAGAGGAGGTTTGAGACACATCCTAGTTTATTAAATCCAATGATTGTTTTACACTAGAGGGCTGTGCCAGTGCAGTCAGTAGGAGGAATATGTAAAAACAATCAGAAGTGTATGTGAGCGAGATACACCTATAAAGTCATTACTATTTACTGTAGTTTACCTGGACTATAACAAAATGCCACAGAAAGCATGGTCAGAACTGCATATGGAGTATTGACTTCAGCTGCCACTTGCAATAATACGAGCAACCCTCCTTCAATTTCCAAATTACTCCTGCTCTCTTCTGGCCCTGGTAACAACTGAGAATCAAGCAGTATCAAAGTCACTCATCCATAAAACAAGAGGGACTATTTGGCACCTACAAGGACAAAACACTCTTTTTACAATGAATGTGAAAATCTCTTTAACAGGTTTATGCTGTGCTCTTTTAATTCTACAAAGCAAACTGGAATCCAGTTGATGTGAGCATTCAAATTGGACTTATTTGCACGGAAGACACCCTGCTTAAGAGACAGAACAGGTGCTGATGTCAACACGGAAAATATTGGCATTATGTTCCCAAGCAACTGTATTAGACACATATAAGAGCTTACTGTTGTACGGTCAATGCTAACCTTTATCTCCATTCTGAGCTATAAACAAACTGGGAGCACCATCAAGACTGATGGCCATTAAGTAAGCAAACAGTTATTTGTTTTCTTTTAATACCTCACAGCTGTTACAGAAGATTTCTTTATAACTTAGTATCCCAGAGCATATATGAAATATGCTGGTGTAGGTTGACTGCTGTGCCTGTTCCCTTTGAGTGGAGGCACAGACCACCGCTGGAGTCCTCCGGCGGTGACACCAGGCTGCCATTTTCAAGTTGTTCACTGCAATGGCCAGCACAGCCATCAGACAAAAACAGAGTCTCAATATGCATCTGCAGAGTGACTTTACCCACCAGCGCCAATTTTGCGCATGTAAAGCGATTACACTCGACAGGCAGTGGAGAAGCAGAAATGTATGATGGTACTGCTGGAGAAAGCTGTCCTACCCTCCTCACAGGGGGAGCATGACAGCAAAAAGGTAGTCATCTCTATAGATCCACGCCTCCATACAAGGAAGCCTAGGTGCGTATAAAAGCAAGCTCATATCTCTTGTCACTCTGCCTGTACACACGAGTCATAGCAAAGATGTCTTCTGAGAGACAAAAAGATGGGGCTTTGATAAGAACAATCGCGCATAAGGCCCACCAAGGACTTTGAGCACTGGGAAGTTGCTAGTACATACACCCTACCTGTTTGCTGTTATACTGTAAGATAAGAACAGACTGACGGGTGAGGATAAAAGCAATAAAAAGGGAAGGCTTAAGGACAGGAAAAACTGGAGTCTACACATAGATTTTTCATAAGGAATGAATCAAAATTACTTTGAAATATACATAGAGAAAAAAAAAAAAACACTTCAAACACCATTCCAATAGTACAAAAAGAGAAAAAAGCCTGTCTTGCAGGTGAAAAGTTATTTAGCGTGGCAGTGTCACCTTCACTCCTACTGTTGATCTTGCCAGACTGGTGATTCCTGTAGAGAAACAGGTCTTTAGAAGTAAGTGCACAGTGATAATTTCTTTTAGCCCTGTCTGTAGTGTTTCTTGTCTAAATATTTGTAGGATAAATTAATAAAGCATATGCCCGTCGGGGCTCAGACTAGGCTATTGGTATTTTTAAGAAGGGATGGCTCAACCTATCAGGCTATGTAATCCATCTCCTCAACTGCTGTGATGCTTTCTTACTCTGAACAAAGCCTCTGCCCCAGTTTACATACACAAAAGGCTGACACGTTTTCTGCCTACAGAGAGGGACCCGGCTCTCAAATGAAACACCTGCTGGAGAGGAGAGAGGATGCTGAGAGAAGGGTCAGCAGGGCCTGCATTGTCCTCGCAGTGCCAATGGATCTGTCACTGTCCAGGGCTTTGTGTCAGTCTGTGAAACAGGCTCGGAGCCAGGCCAGCTCCCAAAGGCACATATCTAAGGGCAGTGCTGCTTTGAAAGGGGTAAGAGGTGTGGAAGAGAGGGGAACTCACTAAGAAACAGAGTAGGCCTTTGATTTCTTTGGGGTTACAGCCACGTAGTTATTTTCTAAGAAAAATAACCTGACTCTGTTGATCAAGTAGATGGCACTGTGATATCAAAGCTAATGAGAAAAGACAAGCAAGCCAGCAAGGCACAGATAAAAGGACAGGAAGATGAATCTTCATTATTGTTACGTTTCAATGTAAAACAGGGGGGTGTAGAAATTACCAAAGATGAAATATTTTCTGTGGGATTCTTTGAGAACCTTATGTCTGGCAATTCACAAATCAAGAGAGGAATGGAGCCTAGAAAAGACTATCATGAGCAATAGGCAAGATTTTCCTTCTAGTTCCCTATTTTGAATGATTATAAATTTTCAGCTTTGCACTAAAACTTCATTTCCAGATAGTATTTTTATAGCTGTACTGAAACCATTTTTCTCTCTCTTTGTGTAGGTGCATGTATGTGAAAGAACAAATGAAAGAATGAACAGGAAAGAAGACTATTTGGTGATTTCTATTTTGTGATGGGGAAGTTGCTTTGGAGTAACAAAGATAAGAGTCTTAAAAAAAAAAAAAAAAAAAAAAAAAAAAAAAGGAAGTTCCAGTTAATACTCACAAACAAGTTTTGGTGGGGTAATGATAGACTGAAAATGCTTGGTTCACAGGGCTTAAAAAGAACTCAGTACAGATGCCCAGGAGGGGAGAAATGGCCATAGCCTACAAAGCTTGACTTAGCCACAGTGACCTGGCCTCTTGATAGGCAAATCACTTTCTAGGCAGAAGTCCAGAGAAGTTAATCCGGCAAGTGAATCCTAATATACATTACAGGGAGCCTAATGAAAAGCATGGTTTAAAAATGAAACTAACAACTCAGAGAAACAATTTATTGAGGAAAAAAAACAGGGTGTGAACTTGACATCTTCCTATACACAGTAGTGAATATTATGACTAAAACCGATTTTTGCATAAATACAGAGGATCAGTCTTTTTAAAACAATAGGGTTACTGACATGAGTTCACCACTATGAAAATGGGTTCACAGTCTGACCCAAGGTACTTAGTTTCTTTGGGATGGGAGCCTCTATCTTTATTCACACTGAGATGGAAAGTAATATAACCTGATTCTAGTTACTGAAAAACTAGTTCCTTTTAGATGATGTATTCTCTTGCTGCCATCAGGCATTCATCAGCACGTAAAATGCAGGTACATGTGTGTGGGCTGCACATATAGATCTTCCCACAAATCTAGCTGTGCCAATGAAAGAGGTTCCTGACTCCAACGACTCATCCTCCTCCTCCTGCTGCAGACTGTCAGTGCAAAGACCTGCAGAAGGAGTTGTTCATGCTCTTTAACTTGCTTTGGCCAAAAAAGCAGCCTAACTTAGCCCATGTTCCTAAACTGCCTCAGCTAGCCTTGCTTGGCTTGACCTGAACTAGAGAGCACTGATATGGGCTGATCCATCAGCACGGTGGTGGGACTGTGACGGCTGAATGAGTGCGCACTGGCAAGCAAGTGCAGGCAGTGACCTGTCCCACCGAGGTGCTTGGACGGGGAGGATGGCTGTCCACGGCTGCTGGCCCTTTGCACATAGGCAGCAGCAAAACAGAAGGCTGGCAAGAATTGATTCCTTCAGATTAATGGTCTTATAAGTCATGGAGATAGAAGTTATATTACAGCAAAATTTAATGATAATGATGTGATCACCAGTCAAGAGCAAACGCACTGAAATAGCACGTAGTGGTACTAATGAAATTCTTCAAAGCCTTATTAGGTGAAAAGATGAAAATGATTTTCATTCAGGAGGAAGGGAAACTTTTTTTTTCTTAAATTATAATATAGATATTGTTTTCTGCATTTAATTTCCACAGCATTATCATGGGCAAAACATTAATTGTGTGTGTGTATATATATAAAAAGTATGTATATATAAAAAAGATATAAATGTAAATGCACACTGCAGAGTACAAACTTTTAAAGTAAGGATGTCCTTCAGGCTTAGGTGATTATACTGCTGTTGAGTTTTTGCTATACTCCAGTGGCATTCTGCTGGAATGAGATTCACCCCTGTGCAGAGGGCAAGCATAAAACCTAAGTACCATGTAAGTCCTACTTAAGTCTTAAGGACCTGCCTCTAATTCCATTGAAATAAATAGCAATATTTTCACTGTCTTTCAGCGGGAGCTGTTTCAAGGTCAATAAATGGGATCAGTCCTATACATTGCTTTTTGCTGGCCCAGCTGGAATGATACTTCGAGGAGACGGATGTAAACTGTTGGGAATAAAAAGAGGTGAAATAATACCTTGGTAGTAAAAGCCTTGATAATTCTGGTGAATTTGCTTAGAGTAGATACTAGAACCAAAACATTTTTTTGTTTTAAAGATTCAAGGAGGTTAGGTAAATTTATTCTAACCAGGAAGCTGGTCTTAACCATATCTGACTTGAGGAGTACTGTGAACATTTCTGTCATATTCTGTGTAATATAATTCATAATACTGAGAAATACAGCCAAGCCTATTTAAAGCTTTATTATTTCTGCAGTGCTGAGAAAATTTTGGATACCTTAGAGTACAAAAACATCATGTTCTCTGCTCTGGCAGCATGAGCTGGGTTTCTGTGTGTTTTCCTGCTGCATCATCTGCCCTTGGTAGGTAATACAATGGCATCTACTTATGCATCTAAAAAGTGCCTGCACAGAAACTCGTTTATATTTAATAAATTCCAAGTGTTTCACAGCTGATTTCTCATTACAGATGAGAAAGCTTTCGATAAGACCACATTTGCAACACAAGGCAATGGAGAACTCTGTGCTCAGACTGTGCGTCTTACAGGGACTCCTGGCCACAGCAGTGTATTTCACTTCCCAGCTTGTACAGGTAAATAAATATATATTGGACCATATGTAGGGGTAATAAACTTTAAAAACATCACAACCTGAATACAGATGAGAATCCAATTTAAGTATCAGCAGGGTTCAAAATAAAAAACACATCTACTATTGGGAACCCATGCAAATAGCCTGCCTATAAGCAGCACAGACAGACTGGGTTGGGTGACATTAAACTGCACGTGTCAAGAAGAAATAAACACTTGTGTCCCCAGGGAGCAGCCAGGAAGGGTCTTCACAGCAACATGGGCCTCAGGTGAGGGTAACAACCCTTCTACTATCACCCCCAATTTTACATCCACACTTTTGGCAGTGCTGGTGGCCTGAAAGCACCTCAGCGAGGGCACAGCTGGGGTACCACTGTCCAGAGTTATCTGGCTCCCGCTGAGGGACACCTGCCATCTCAAGCGGGTTTTCTTTTTTTATTACAATTTTCAACTCGGTGGAGCCCTCCCTTGAGGTTGGGCCTGTGAGGGCTGCCGACAGCCTCCATCTTGCTCTGAGGTGTTCACCCTGGCCTCAGTAGGGGGAAGCAGCACCTCCCGGCTCCTGCAGGGAAAACGGGGCAGTGCCTGGGCCTGGCAGCAGCCACCCCCTCAGGAAAAACCTCCACACACAGAATCTCACAGAATCATCTAGGTTGGAAAGGACCCTGGCGATCATCTAGTCCCACTGTTCACCTAGCACAGTTCCCACCAACAGCATATCCTTAAGCTCTAAGTCGACCCTACTCTTGAACACCTCCAGGGATGGGGACTCCACCACCTCCCTGGGCAGCCCATTCCAATGCCCAACAACCCCTTCTGGAAAGAAATGCTTCCTAATATCTATTCTGAACTTTCCCTGGCGCAACTTGAGGCCATTTCCTCTTGTCCTGTCGCTTTCTACTAGGCTAAAGAGGCTCAAACCCAGCTCTCTGCAGCTTCCTTTCAGGTAGTTGTAGAGGGTGATAAGGTCTCCCCTCAGCCTCCTCTTCTCCAGACTAAACACCCCCAGTTCCCTCAGCCGCTCCCGGTACGACCTGTGCTCCAGACCCTGCACCAGCTCCGTTGCCCTTCTCTGGACACGCTCGAGTCATTCAATGTCCTTTTTGTAGTGAGGGGCCCAAAACTGAACACAGGAATCGAGGTGCAGCCTCACCAGTGCCAAGTACAGGGGTAAGATCCCTTCCCTGTCCCTGCTGGCCATGCTAGTGCTGACACAAGCCAGGATGCCATTGGCCTTCTTGGCCACCTGGGCACACTGCTGGCTCCTGTTCAGCCGGCTGTCAATCACCCCCCCCAGGTCCCTCTCTGACTGGCAGCTCTCCAGCCACTCCTCCCCAAGCCTGTAGCGCTGCTGGGGGTTGTTGTGGCCCAAGGGCAGCCCCCGGCATTTGGCCTTATGGAAACTCCTCCAGTTGGGCTCAGCCCATGGCTCCAGCCTGTCCAGGTCTCTCTGCAGAGCCTCCCTACCCTCGAGCAGATCAACACTCCCACCCAACTGGGTGTCATCTGCAAACTGACTGAGGGTGCACTCGATCCCCCCGTCCAGATCATCAATAAAGATGTTAAACAGGAGTGGCCCCAACACCGAGCCCTGGGGGACACCACTTGCCACCAGCTGGATTTAACTCCGTTCACCACAACTCTCTGGGCCCAGTCGTCCAGCCAGTTTTTAACCCAGCAAAGTGTGCGATTGTCCAAACCTCAAGCAGTCATTTTTGCCAGGAAAATGCTGTGGGAAACGGTGTCAAATGCCTTGCTAAAGTCAAGGTAAACAACATCCACAGCCTTTCCCTCACCCAATAAGCAGGTCGCTCTGTCACAGAAGGAGATCAGGTTTGTCAGGCAGGACCTGCCTTTCATAAACGCATCCACCAACACATCCGCTTTTTCAATGGAGCCCCCGGGGGCCAACGGTCGCGCCCTCCCTCAGGTGGCAGCCGCGGCAGGGCGAGAGGCGGCGGCTCTCCCTCCTCGCCGGTGAG